TTTGTTTGGAAGATATAGTTATTTTTCATAAAATATGTCATTTATCATGTAATGGATTTATTTTTTAATGAATTAATAACTATTTATAATTTTTCAGTTGAAATCTTGAAGGCTTTTCTTAAAGTCTAGAGGTAACCAATATCTTTATCTTCATCTTGAAAGATACAGGGCCCTAGAATTCTTTAACTCTGATCACATCCCTCCCAGATTGTACACTATTATCTGATTTTAGTTCTGACTCTTCACCATCCTCCTCCACATACAGACATAGTAGATATTATTATTTTCTTCACAATTAATGTTTCAGTTTGCCCACATATTTGCCAGTTTCTTTGCTCATCATTTGTTTTTACATCTCAGACCTTTAATCGAGATTATTTTCCTCTGTCTGAAAATATTTTCTTTAGGTTTTTTTCTTCTTTATTTCGCTGTACCACCCAGCATATAGAACTTCCCCAACTGGGGATTAAACCTGTGCCAAATGCAGTGGAAGTGCAGTGTCTTAACCTCTGGACCACTGGGGAAATCCCTAGAATATTCTTTCAGTAGAATCTTGTTATTTTTAATTTTTTTTAATTTTTAATTGAAGGATAATACAATATTGTGTTGATTTCTGCCATACATCAACATGGATCGTAGATATACATATGTCCCCTCCCTCTTGAGCCTTCTTCCCACCTCCCACTCCATTCCACCCCTCTGGGTTGTCATAGTGCTCCAGTTTGAGAGTAGAATCTTTGATGGTAAACTCTGTCTTTGTCTAAAAATGTCTTTACTATGCCCGTGTTCTTAAAAATTGGTTCTGCCTAATCAGGAAAAGAATTTGAAAAAGAACAGATACATGTATATGTAGGAAAAAAAAGAAATTTGGTTCTGCTGTGTGTAGAACACTAGGGCGACAGTTAAATTCTCTCAGGACATTGACAGTATTATTCCACTGGCACCTCCTTTCCATTGTTGTTGAATCAGTCTAACTGTAATACGTTGTTTCTTTTTTCTCGGAATACTTTTTAACAGCAGCTTTGTGAGATAAAACTTATATACCACAGTCCACTTAAACTAAAATCTGCTGGGTTTTAGTATGTTCGTAGATATGTGCAACCATGAGCAGAGTCAATTGTAGACCATTTTCATCACTTCAAAAATCTCATACCCCTTGGGAAACCAACGTATTCATGTGGCTTGCTTTATTGTGACCTTCTTACTCTTAAAAAAAAAACCTCATACATCTTAGCTATCACCCCTATCTTTCTATTTAGAGGTTCTTAAGCAACTCCTGGGGCTTTTGAGGTGGCACTAGTGGTAAAGAACCTGCCTGTCAATGCAGGAGACATAAGAGATGTGGGTTCAATCCCTGGGTTGGGAAGATTCCCTGAAGGCGATATGGCAACCCACTCCACTATTCTTGCCTGGAGAATCCCCATAGTCAGAGGAGCCTGGCGGGCTACGTCGATGGGGTTGCAAAGAGTTGGACACGACTGAAACGACTGCGTGAATGCATGCAAACAACTCCTAATATATTTTGTGTTTTTAGAGATTTGCCTATTATGGACATTTCACATAAATGGAATTATATAGGGTGGTGTCATTTTTGACTGGCTTCTTTTAACTTACTTTACTTTTCACTTGAAAGCATAATGCTTTGCCTATTCTAGGTACCTTATATAAGTGGAATAACCCAGTATTTGTTCTTTTGTGTCTGGCTTCTTTCACTTAACATGTCTTCAAGGTTCATTCATGTTATAGCATATATCAGAACTTTGTTTTTATGACTGAATGATATTCTATTGTATGTATATACCATTATCTGTTGATGAACTTTTGGATTGTTTCTACCTTTTGGTTAACATGAATAATGTTGCAGTGAACATTGGCATCCAAGTGTCTGTTCAAGTCCCTGCTTAGAATTCTTTTGGATGCATACTTAGGAGTTCTTTCAGGCAGGGACTGAGCCTTTTATAACCAAAATATCTAGTATTGTAAACTTCATAAGAACAGGTCTTTTTGTTTTATCTACTGCTTAATAAATACTTCTTTCATGAATGAATGAATAGGATCTATTCATAAATATTTGTCAAATAATTTCAGTATGCTTGAGTAGTTTTCATGATGCTCACTAAAGAGTTTCTTGCTCAGCATGGCAGGTGAGAAAGGGGCTTCCTTTTTTTCCTTTTTCTTCTCTTTAAAAATATTTATTGAAGTATCCCAGGTGGGACCGGTGGTAAAGAGCCTGCCTGCCAATGCAGGAGACAAAAGAGACGTGGGCTCAATCCCTGGGTTGGGAAGATCTCCTGGAGGATGGCATGGCAACCTACTCCAGTATTTTTGCCTGGAGAATCCCATGGACACAGGAGCCTGGAGGGCTACAGTACATAGGGTCATAAAGAGTTGGACATGACTTAGCACACATACATACACCAGATTACTTCTATTATAAGTAATCAGTTCAATAAATTTTTATAAACTGAACACATTTGTATAAGTATCACCCAGAAGAAATAAGGATCCTAGCTATAACAAGCATTAAAAAAAAAGTTACAACTTGGGAGTTCCCTCGTGGTCCACTGGTTAAGACTCCACTGCAGGGTGTGTGGGTTCAATCGTTGATCAAGAATTAGGATCCCATATGTCATTTGGTGCAGCCAAAAAGTAAAAATAAAAAGTCACAACTTGATGGGCGCCTGACTAGCGACTGAGGTGTGGTGGCTAACTGTTTGTCAGCACAGCAATTGTAAAGTCTCAGATGCACATGAATTTTTCCTTTCTAGATGTGATTAAAGGACAGTGTCAGATAGAATACTGGAGCTTAGGGTGACACTCATTTTAAACCCAACATGATAAATAGTATTGCTAATGGTTCACAGCACTCCCTGTGTTGCTCAGGTGGTAAAGAATCTCTGCAATGCAGAAGGTCTGGGTTCCATCCCTGGGTTGGGAAGATCCCCTGGAGAAGGAAATGGCAACCCACTCCAGTATTCTTGCCTGGAGAATCCCATGGACAGAGGAGCCTGGTGGGCTACAGTCCATAGGATTGCAAAGAGTCGGACATGACTGAGTGACTAACACTTCAGCTTTCAATGGTTCATATCCTAGGGATGTGAGGCAGTGAATTTTTTTTACAGAAAGTTACTATATTTTGTGTAGAATATGGCAGATTTGGTCATAATATGTATTCTTCCCTTAAATAAAAAAGAAGATCCTATATCTAAATTCACACTTCTTACAAGTATGTTCAGTCTTTATCAACTCATTTCTAACTAGAGGAGTGGCAATATGGAATTCTGTACTTTAAAGTTTAGAGTCATAACTATCAAAATATAACTTGGTTTAAAAAAAATCTTGGGTTTTGCTACTTCTCTAGTGCCATTTAATAATTTGTTATTGTTGTTCAATCACTAAGTCGTGTCTGACTCTTTGTGATCCCAATGACTACAATGGGCAAGGCTTCCCTGTCCTTCACTATCTCCCAGAGTTTGCTCAAACTCATGTCCATTGAGTCAGTGATGCTATCCAATCATCTCATCCTCTGTCACCCCTTTAATAATTTACTTTTTCAATTTCCTATATTCTAAAGCAGGTATTGGCAAATTCTTTCTTAAATGGCCAAGTAGTAAATATTTAGGTTTGATCGTCATACTGTCTTTGTCACAAGTACTCACTCTGCTGGTGCAGTGCAAACTCAGCTACAAACAAACAAATGGCTGTGTTTCACTAAAACTATTCACGGTGACGAGCAGTGGGCTGAATTTGATCCACAGCTTGTTGTTTACCCATCCCTGCAATAGAATATTGTTTTCTTGTCTGATAAACAGATATTCTTAATTTCATGAACTCTGATTTATTGGGGGTTTTCCTTTTATGTTTTATTTTATGGTTATCATTTTTTTAAAGGAAAAAATGAACTGCTACTCTCTGGTCATGAAGATACTCTCCTCTGTTTTCTTCTAGAACAAATAACAGCAAATTTCCTATAAAGAAAAGGAAGTAAATATTTTAGGCTTTGCAGGCCACTCAGTTTGTGTCACAACTGCTCAACTCTGCTGTTGTAGCAGGAAAACAACCATGGCCAATACATAAATGAGTTAGTGCAGTTGTGTTCCAGTAAAACTTGATCTGAAAATAAGTGAACTATAGTTTGCTGACCTCTAATCTAGAATAAAACTTCAACAAGTAGTCACTCAAAATGATGTGGTATAAGGAACCAATCCTTGAGTACTTCAAGTTCAAATTTATTGAGTGTGTGCTGTTTTGCCAGACTGAAGGCTCAATGGCTAATTAAATTCTGGTATATTCACTAGAATATTAAGATCATTGAAAATGATCATTTTGAAGACCAAGTAACATGGGAAAATACTTTTAAGTGGGAAATCAGGATAAAATTTTAAGTTTGTATCTTAATAGCTGTGGACTACTAGAAGGAATTGGCAGTCCACTCCAGTATTCTTGCCTGGAGAATCCCATGGACAGAGGAGCCTGGCAGGCTACAGTCCAGAGGGTCACAAAGAGTCAGACATGACTAAGGCGACTTAGCATGTACACATGCACTAGAAGGAATACATGAATTTTTGTTAGGCAGAAGAATCTGTTTCTGGTTTTCAAGTTGTCTGCATTGTTGTATTCCAAAAATAACTTTAAAAATAGAGTGAGTGAGTAAGTGGAAGTTGCTCAGTCATGTCCAGCTCTTTGTGACCCCATGAACTATACAGTCAATGGAATTCTCCAGGCCAGAATACTGGAGTGGGTAGCCTTTCCCTTCTCCATGGGATCTTCCCAACCCAGGGTTCGAACCCAGGTCTCCCGCCTTGTAGGTGGATTCTTTACCAGCTGAGCCACTAGGGAAACCCCAAAATAGCATAAAGACATGCTAATTAAAACTATTGTTCAATCAAGTCCTGAAGCCTTTTTTCTTAATCAGTGTAGATTGACATTTAAGGAAAATGCATTGTTGCTCTCTTCAAGATATATTGTCATTTTTTCTTTTAATTTTTATATTTTGACAGTGCCCTTATGTCTGCCATTTGTTATATTTACTTACCAAAAAAGAGAATGGTGAGTATTTTCATTCCAATTGTATTACATTCACTCTCTGGAATTAGCATTTGTATTGGCCTTTAAAAAGTTTTAATTATTAACATTAGTTCTATGGCAAGGTTTCGTGGGAATTGTTTTTTAGTACTTTTACCTAAGAGCATCTGCTTAATGGCTTAACTGAGCAGGGTAATTATATTCTTAATGTGTTGTAAGGAGAAGCTACATGGACAATGTTTCTTTTTATTCTAAACCACAAACTTAGTACTTCTTTTCTTTACCTTCACTAGTCAAACCATTTCGTGTGAGAAAACTGCTTGATCTTCAGGCCAAAATGGTGAGTACTGAAAAGACCTAAAACTGGCTAGTGTACTCTGTGCTAGGTATGGAGCTAGGCTTTGGGGATGTAAAACTGAATGCATCATTATCTTCAAGAAACTTATTGCCTGGGAAGCTGAGTCAACAAAATAAAAATCAGAATTAGACTGAGGTCAAGGGAGGAGTGATGATGGTAAGTAGAATTTAACTAGGCCAGGAAGGAAAAGAAGGGCACTCATGGCAGGGAACAGCATGAGCAAAAGCTGGGTAGATATCAAATAGCAGCAACTGTTTATGGAATTGGGTTGGTATGGCTGGAAATTAAGTGTTAGGGAGTAATAAAAAATGACTATTTTATTAAAGTGACTAACTTATTTATTCTGTGGCTGTGATCTAGGAAAGCATTCTTCTCTGGATGCTTAAACTTCAGTATATTTCCTGACTATTACCTCTTGTCCTTACAGCCCTCTTGCCTTATTTCCACTATACCTGCCAGGTAACAGAAGCTTTGGGTATAAAACCGTAGGAAGTTGTGGTGCCTATGCCTAATTATCGAAGCCTGCATGACCTACATAGAGGCATTCAGTTTTCATGAAAAACACAAATACATGTGCACATTTGTGCTTCTCCAGTATGAGGTTTCCTGTTGGTATTTACAATTCAGTGATTGTTTTTGTTTTATTAGGGGCTCCCCTGGTAGGTCACATGGTAAAGAATCTACCTGCAGTGCAGACCTGGGTTTGATCCCTGGGTTGGGAAGATCCCCCAGAGAAGGAAATCCCATGGACAGAGGAGCCTGGTGGGCTATAGTCCGTGGGTTCACAAAGAGTCAGACAAGACTGGGCAACTACCACTTTCACTTTCTTGTTTTATAGCTTCCTGTTTCGGTTCTTTGAGTGCATGCAGTATTTTCTGGTAGCTCTCTGAGGATAGTAATAATAATGATTTTGTCTAAATTTAATTTTATTTTATATTAATCAGTCAGAGAAGAGAGAAAATATAGGGAAGAAGTAAAATATGGGAAAAGATCATAAAAGAGAACATGTCAAGTCGGCGATGGTTGCTTTATGATAGTTGATTTAAATGTTTGAGTTTCTATTCCTAGATTCTCTATAGCATCTTCCTATAGCTATATCACATAATAAAATTAGGATCTGAATATACGTTTAATCTTTTTATTTTATTGTTACTTTTTTTTTTCTTATTGGCCACAGAATTGAAAACTCTTATTTTATTTCAGGGAATGCAGCCTCATCTCCAGGCTTTGTTGTCACTGTATAAATTCTTTGTTCCTACTTTGATTTCTGTATCTTTGCCTATGAGAAAGAAGGTAAGGGATTAAGGAGTGATAAGTCATATTTGGATAGAAATATGTTATTTTGAGTAAGTTAATTTATAGATTTTGACTAAAATGTTTATAGCATACTGTTTAAGATCTAATATTGTAGTGTTGCTTCTGAGAAGTTTTTTAGGGTTTAACACTTCATTTTGATTCTATTCAGTGTTCTTAATAGATTCCTGATTAGGAAAAAAACACTTTAAATGGACCTGCATGGGTGCAAAATATTTCATAATTAATTTACTTTCAGTTAACGAAGAGTTTTAGATTTTATGCTGTTCCAACTTATGGATACCTCCTCTCATATACTTTATATTCAAATTTACAGATCTATTTTAAGAATTCAGAGAATCTGTGGAAGACCGCTCTACTTGCTCTGAGGTCAAGGAATCAAGGATTTCCTTCAGAACCTCTAAAGTTGATGTTAGCTAATGTCCATCCTATAAAAAGAGTAAGTATTTAAAACCCCAAATAACTTCCACAGCCTTCTTTATTGTTAAATTCAAATCATAAGGTTTCAGATGTTGGAAGAGTTTATAGATGTCTGAGTATATTTTAATTACTTTAATTAGGATTCTATGCAAACCACATTCAGACTCTGTTCATTAGATCACCTTAATAAGTGCTTTTACATTTATAGTTTGTAATCTCTTTGATCCACTGATTGTTTCATTATCTTTCTTTTTTAGAATTGGAATTCTCACTCAATTATACCAGTACTAAATTCCTGTAACTACAGTAAAGAAAGTAGAAAAAAAAGGATGAATCTTTCTGATTACTTCAGTAGCAATGGATCATTTCCACTGGAACAGCTTAAAAGCTTCCCTCAACTCTTACAGAACATTCATTGCTTAGAGGTATATAACTGGGCTACATCCTTATTTGCATAATCCCTTTGATCTTCATGGCCTTTATTTTTGTTGTATATTTCTTATCTGATGATTTCCTTGTTGCTCTGATCTCCTTTTTATATTCTTACAGTTGACTGATTTTTCTGTCTTTGCAGCTGCCTTCTCAGATGGGCGCAGTGCTGAACAGCTCTCTGCTACTTCACTATATTAACTGTGTCAGAGATGAGTCAGTCTTACTGAGGCTCTATCACTGGTTGAGTCAAACATTACAAGAAGGTAAAAATTGATGCTTTTAAAGTATTAGATGAATGAAGAAGGAGCAAGATGGTTTAGAAATAGGTTTCTTTTAAAAGAGTGATGATGTCTAGACAGGAGGAGCCTTCATAAGCTATAATAATTTTTTCTGATAATCATATATTCAGAGCCTGAATGCTGCCATTGTTCTAATTTCAAGGGAAAGTAAGAAAGGAGATATGTTGTTAAGGAAACACTACTGCATCGTCACCAGAACTCACTGGGTGCCTCCACTTTGATGACTGTCACAGTCCAAGGCCTCTCTATCTTTTGTATGTTCAGAAACTTGCTGTTAAGCCCGCAGAATCACCAGATTAATACTAACCAAACTCTGAGACTATTGTGTAAGCCAGAATGTCAACTTATTATTTCATGACAGAAGTAATTCCTTCTGGTGACCAAAATGTTCATGTTTGCTGACTAGAATAGCTCTTCTCTGCTATCAGTAAGATGGGAGCCACATTAGTCATCAGAAGGTTTCTTAATTATTGAACTGAAGGAAAGGGAAGTGAGAGAGTTTTTCATCCAGGCCATAGTAAAACCCAATCATTTCATTTCCTCTGAGGGGGTCAATCTCTCTAAAAATAGTATTGTGTTCACCAGACTATTTCTTTCCTGGATAAGCAAATCCTGACTCTTCGAGTGTTTAAGGTCAGTTTTAGTCAGTTGCAGGGTAACTCTTTTTCCTACTAAGAGTCTTTCTTTACATAGGGTATGATACAGTTAAATTTCCACTCACTAAAGTTCTACCACTCTTAGATTACCCCCAGTTCACCCTAATTTAAATTTAGGCATTCTCAAGCTTTTAATTCATACACTTCTTTCTTTTGGATTACTGTGTGGCATAAAGCTAATCATATTCATTATATATGACTTTTACCACTTTATTTTTTTTTACTATAAGCTTTCCCTGTATTACCAAGTTGTTGAGGAACATTGCACTGTCACCTCCATGTATATGTTACAGTCTCCAGTGTGAGCTGGCTGGGATGTATGAGATTGATAGCTTGTTTATATTTATCATTTGTCACTTGAGAGTTGTGGTGATGTTTTGTGTAGCTTTTATTGTTGTGCAACCAGAGCCTTATGCTTAATATTTCTGTTCCAGAGTGTATTTGGTACAAGGTGAATAATTATGATCATGGGAAAGAATTTGCCAACTTCCTGGACACTATCCTCAGGGCAGAATGCTTCTTACAAGTAAGGTTCTGCTTGTTTCCTACGCATTTCACCACCACTTTTTTTTTTTTTTTAGCTTTTTATGTTGTATTGGGGTATAGCCAATTAACAATGTTGTGATAGTTTCAGGTGAACAGCAAAGGGGCTCAGCCATACATACATATACATGTATCCATTCTCCCCTAAACTCCCTTTCCATCCAGGCTGCCACATAACATTGAACAGAGTTCCATGACTTCATCACTTCTTAATTTATTTAGATATTCATTGAAAATGCTTTCATTGGTGCTTGACATCTTTTGTAAACAATATTTGCTCAATTCAAAATTCATCATGAGTGCATGCTAAGCTGCTTCAGTTGTGTCCAACTCTTTGAGACCCCATGGACCGTAGCCTGCCAGGTTCCTCTGTCCATGGGATTTCCCAGGCAAGAATACTGGAGTGGGTTGCCATGCCCTCCTCCAGGGGATCTTCCTGACCCAGGGGTCAAACCTGTGTCTCTTGCATCTCCTGCATTGGCCAGCGAGTTCTTTACCACTAGTACCACCTGGGAATCCCAAAATTCACTATAGATAGAGCCAATTGAACTGATGTTTATCTTTGTACTGTTGACTGTGAAGATAGAACTTGTTAAATTATCCAAATAAGAGAAAAAGATCTAGAGAATTCCCTGACTGTCCAGTGGCTAGGATGCTGTGCTGTCACTGCTGAACACCCAGGTTCAATCCATGGTCAGGGAACTAAAATCCCACAAGCCTCATGGCATGTGTCACCCCTGACACACACACAAAAACAGAGAAAGAGGTTTAAGGGAACAAACTGAAGATATAACTGAATGCATTAAATTAATTGAATTGGCCAGTAAGAAAAATCTCACAAGGTCACTGTTGTTCAGTTGCTAAGTTGTGTCCGAACTATTTGCGACCCCATGGACTGCAGCACACCAGGCTTCCCTGTCCTTCACTATCTCCTGGAGTTTGCTCAAACTCCTGTCCATTGAGTCAGTGATGCCATCCAATCATTTCATCTTCTGTTGCCCCCTTCTCTTGCCCTCAAACTTTCCCAGCATCAAGGTCTTTTCTAATGAGTTGGCTCTTTGCATCAGGTGGTCAAATATTGGACCTTCAGCATCAGTCCTTCCAATGAGTATTCAGGATTGATTTCCTTTAGGATTGACTGGTTTGATCTCCTTGAAGTTCATGGGACTCTCAAGAGTCTACTCCAGCACCACATTTGAAAGCATCAATTCTTCCACAGTCAGCCTTATTTACAGTCCAGCTCTCACATCCATACATGACTACTGGAAAAACTATAGCTTTGATTATACTAACTTTGTTGGCAAAGTGATGTCTCTGATTTTTAATGTGTTGTCCACGTTTGTCATAGCTTTTCTTCCAAGGAGCAAGTGTCTTTTAATTTCATGGCTGCAGTCACCATCCACAGTGGTTTTGGAGCCCAAGAAAATAAAATTTGTGACTATTTCCACTTTTTCCCCATCTATTTGCTATGAAGTGATGGGACTGGATGCCAAAATCTTAAGTTTTTTGAATGTTGAGTTTTAAGCCAGCTTTTTCACTCTCCCCTTTCTCCTTCATCTGTTTAGTTGAAGGCTGTTTAGTTCCTCTTCACTTTCTGCTATTAGGGTGGTATCATATAGATATCTGAAGTTCCTGATATTTCTCCTGGCAATCTTGATTCCAGCTTGCGATTCCTCCAGCACAGCATTTCACATGATGTACTCTGCAAGTAAGTTAAATAAGCAGGGTGTTTATAAACAACTTTGACAAAATCCTTTCCCAATTCTGAACCAGTCCGACGTTCCATGTCTGGTTCTAACTGTTGCTTCTTGACCTGCATACAGGTTTCTCAGGAGACAGGTAGGATGGTCTGATAGTCCATCTCTTTAAGAATTTCCCACAGTTTGTTGTGATCCACACAATGAAAGGTTTAGTGTAGTCAATGAAGCAGAAGTAGATGTTTTTCTGGAATTCCCTTGCTTTCTCTTTGAACCAACAGATGTTGGCAATTTGATCTCTGGTTCCTCTGCCTTTTCTAAATCCAGCTGGTACATCTGAAAATTTTTGGTTTACATACTGCTGAAGCCTAGCTGGAAGGATTTTGAGCATTACCTTGCTAGTGTGTGAAATGAGTGCAATTGTGTGGTAGTTTGAACATTCTTTGGAATTGCCCTTTTTTGGGATTGAAATGAAAAGTGACCTTTCTGTGTCCACCGCTAAGTTTCCCAATTTGCTAACATATTGAATGCAGCACTTTAACAGCATCATCTTTCAGGATTTTTAAATAGCTCAGTTGGAATTCCATTACCTCCACTAGCTTTGTTTGTAGTAATGCTTCCTAAGGTCCGTTTGACTTCACACTCTAGGATGTCTGGTTCTAAGTGAGTGACCACACCATCATGGTTATCTGGGTTATTAAGGCCTTTTTTGTACAGTTCTGTGTATTCTTGCCACCTCTTCTTAATCTCTTTTGCTTCTGTTAGGTCCTTGCTGTTTCTGTCCTTTATTGTACCTATCCTTGCATGAAATGTTCCCTTGGTATCTCTAATTATATTGAAGAGATCTCTAATCTTTCCCGTTCTATTGTTTTCCTCTGTTTCTTTGCATTATTCACTTAAGAAGGCTTTCTTATCTCTCCTTGTTATTCTCTGGAACTCTGCATTCAGTTGGGTATATCTTTCTGTTTCTCCTTTGCCTTTCACTTCTTTTCTCAAGCTATTTATAAGGCCTCCTCAGACAACTACTTTGACTTCTTGCTTTTCTTTTTCTTTGGAATGGTTTTGGTCACCGCCTCCTGTACAGTGTACAAACCTTCATCCACAGTTGTTCAGGAACTCTTATCAGATCTCATCCCTTGAATCTATGTGTCACTTCCACTGTATAATCATAAGGGATTTGATTCAGGTCATACCTGAATAGCTTAGTGATTTTCCCTACGTTCTTCAATTTATGCCTAAATTTTGCCATGAGGAACTCATGATCTGGGCCACAGTCAGCTCCAGATCTTGTTTCTGCTAACTGTATGGAACTTCTTCAACTGTAAAGAATATAATCAGTCTGATTTCAGTATTGACCATCTGGTGATGTCCATATGTAGAGTTGTCTCTTGTGTTGTTAGAAGAGATTGTTCGCTATGACTAACGTGTTGTCTTGACAAAACTTTGTTAACCTTTGACCTACTTCATTTTGTACTGCAAGGCCAAACTTGCGTGATACTCCAGGTATCTCTTGACTTCCTACTTTTGCATTCCAGTTCCCTAAGATGAAAAGGACATCTTTTTTAGTGTTAGTTCTAGAAGGTCTTGTAAGTCATCATAGAACCGTTCAGCTTCAGCTTCTTCAGCATCAGTGGTTGGGGCATAGACTTGGATTACTGTGATATTGAATCGTTTGCCTTGGAAATGAACCGAGATCATTCTGTTGTTTTTGAGACTGCACCCAGGTACTGCATTTTGGATGCTTTTGTTGAGTATGAGGGCTACTCCATTTCTTCTAAGGGATTCTTGCCCACAGTAGATATAATGGTCATCTGAATTAAATTTGCCCATTTCCATCCATTTTAGTTCACTGATTCCTAAAATGTTGATGTTCACTCTTGTCATCTCCTGCTTGACCACGTCCAGTTTACCTTGATTCATGGAACTCACATTCCAGGTTCCTATGCAACATTGTTCTTTACAGCATCAGACTTGACTTTCACTACCAGGCACATCTACAACTGGGTGTCATTTCCACTTTGGCCAAAGCCTCTTCATTCTTTCTGGAGCTATTTCTCTGCTTTTGTTCAATAGCATATTGGACACATACTGACCTGGGGGGCTCATCTTCTGGTGTCCTATCTTTTTGCCTTTTCATACTATACATGGGTTCTCAAGGCAAGAATACTGAGTGGTTTGCCATTCCCTTCTCCAGTGAACCATGTTTTGTCAGAACTCTCCACCCCATGACCCGTCTGTTTTGGGTGGCCCTACATGGCACGGCTCATAGCTTCATTGAGTCATGCAGCCCATTTGCCATGACAAGGCTGTGATCCATGTGATCATTTTAATTAGCTTTCTGTGGTTATGGTTTTCATTTTGAAGGCTGTGGGATTGTAGTTGCTTCTTCTGTCTGCCCTCTGATGGGTGAGAATAAGAGATTTGTGCAAGCTTCCTGATGGGAGGGACTGGCTGTGGGGAAAACTGGGTCTTGCTCTGGTGGGCAGGACCATGCTCAGTAAATCTAGTCCAATTTTCTGCTGATGGGTAGGGCTCTGTTTCCTCCCTGTTAGTCACAGCAGTGACCCTATGTTCTTATAATCAAAGCATTTTTTGATTGCTGAATATGTTAAGCCAGTCAATTATTTGACCTGGGTAACCCTGAGTTGTACTATTAAGCTGCTACTCAGGTATCAGCACCATCAAGAAGCCTTAGTCAGTCTGAGTTAGATGTGTTTTCTTTGTGCTCCCTTGGCTCTTGTGTGTTTTCCTGTATCGTGGTATCTTGAAGCATCTGTTTTTCCACACATTATGGGCTCCAGACAGGTGGGAACCCTGTCTAACTTTTCTTCATGTATAGGTGTTCAACTTGGTACCTGGTGCAAAAGAGATTGTCAATAAATGTTTGTTGAATAAATCGTAAGGATTTTATATGAAACCATTGAATTAATAAGTTGGATATGGATAATGGTGGTGAGAATAAAAGAATTAATTTAGGTTGACTTTTTAGATTTTCTTCTTGGAAAGATGATGATGAGAGTATAAGAAAAGCAGGCTAAGAAGGAAAGATATATTTGCTTTAAAAGATGCCTGTGGGGTATCTAAGAGGTTCAGTAGGCAGTTAGATAATAAGTCTAGGGATCAGAATGAGATTTGGGCTGCAAATGCAGAAATTTAAGACTTCTCATGATATAGGTGATGGTTTTAGCTGTATTATAGATGTGATTGTTCAGAGAATTCATGTCTGAAAAGAAGGTGCAGAATAGAGTCTTGGTGCATGCCACTATTTAAGACTCAGGATGACAGAATTAAAAGGGAAAGCCCTGGATCCTCACTCACTTGTGAAAACACAAGCAGCTAGAAACTCAGCCCTCCCCAGACGGTGTTGCCCAGAGTTCAGGTTTGGTCTGTGGCTCCTATTTAAATTCCAGACTTACTGTGCAACTTCAAGGACTATTCAAGTGTCTGTATGTACTCCAAAATAATAGTTTCATTTATCTTGAAAATATTTCATAATTTGATTTCTTACCTTTTTAGTTGGTGAAGTTTTATGGTATTTGAAAACTATGTTGATAAAGATGTTAAAGTATTCAAATATTAATCATCTGGTTCTTTTTAGGAGAAAGTCTGATACCTAACCCAAGGCTTTTAATTATATTTATGACAAAAAAATAAGAGTAAAACAACTATTGCACAATGTAAATTGGTTGTTTTGAGTGTAGTTATGACTGAAGAGCTCCACGTAAGGTTTTACCATCAACTTGTGTTATAGGAGGGGTTTTATTCCTGTGAAGCATTCCTGTATAAGAGCCTTCCTCTCTGGGATGGCCTCTGTTGTCGATCACAGTTCCTTCAACTTGTGAGCTGGATTCCTTTTAGTAGCTTCTCTGGTATGTATCATGAAAATTTGGAGCCATTTAATTCAGTGTAATGTTAATTAAAAGAATTGAATGATGTTTTTCTTTTCTGATTTTTAGAGGTGAAGCCACTTCTTTTTGACCACCTTTCTCGGCTTTTCTTTACATCATCTATTTTTTTCAAGGTAAAAAACATTGTCTTAGTCTATGGCTGGTGGTACACAATTTCAAACCCACATTACAACAGTAGTTTTTTAATAGGATTCACTTGAACCTGGACTTGAGGTGCTACGTCACTCAAATCAAAGTTAATGTATAGAATTTTCTGTTTTTAAGGTTTTGTCACATATAATTTTCCTGAACTGTTTCCACTTGTGGCAGATAATGAAGTGAATGAACAGGTGGCAAATCAGTATTAAAAACAAACTAGGAAATAACTTAAGTATACTTAGTTTGATTGTTGTGGTTGATAGTTTTGTAGATATACTTTTTCATTTCTCAGATATATATTGAGCACACACTATGTGTTATAATAGTCATTTTCTGTTAATAAAATTGTTCTAACCTTATATAATAAAATTAAAATGTGTTACTATTTTGGAGTGTTCTCCAAAAAAAAAAAAAAAGGCTGTGGTTTACAGGAGTTCTATCTAACTTTGAGAGCCACTTTCTTACAGAATGGTTATTTCTATTCTAAAAGAGTGACAATATAAGTAATGTTCCTTTGTAGTTTTTTTCACCTTAAATCATTTATTGTTGGCCACATTTACAGAAAAAATATATTGTCCTGATTAGTGTTTATCCTAATCAAATGGTATTTTATTAATTACCTATCCCAAACTTCTAATTCAGTTATTCTTTTTTTTCTAAAATGTTTATTTTTGTTTATTTGGCTGTGCTGGGTCTTAGTTATGGCACGCAGGATTTTTAGTTGCAGCGTGTGAACTCTTAATTGTGTCATGTGAGAGCTAATTCCCTGACCAGGGAACAAATCTGGGCCCCCTGCATTGGGAGTGGAGAGTCTTAACCACTGGACTACCAGGGAAGTCCCTCAGTTATTCTTTATTTCTTCTCTTACTTTACCAATCTAGAGTGCTGTTTATCAAACCATCTGAATAGATTTAACCTGATAGATCAAAGCTGTTTGACAATTGGCAGTTTCATATGTTCCAGCCTAACAAGGATACATTTATACATACATGTATATATTCATATTTGAGAGTAGGAGGTGGAGAGAGGAAGGGAAACAGACAGTGGGCCAAAGACAGAAATCAAGGGAATACTTACTACTTAATTCTCACTGAAAAGGAGAGTCTATAAAGGAACATTTTCAAGAAGTATGAAAAGAACCAGGAGAATAGTAGTTCCAAACAGAGAGACACAGGCTATCAAGAAGGAGTGAAGGGATAATGTTGTCATATATCCCAAGAGGGTCCAGAAAGATATGGACCAAAAAAGTTTCTTTTGGAATTGATAATACAGAGGTCTTGGCTACTTTTGTGAACAGGTTCAGTGGAGTGTGGGGTAAAAACCAAATTGTGGAGCTTGAGGAGTCAATGAGAAATGAAGACAAGACAATGAGTATTGACTGTGTTTCCAAAAGTTTGGCTGAGGGAGGGATAGAGAAAGAGAGCTACAGTGGGACTTTGAATCAAGGGAAGGTTGTAACTTTTTTTGTCCCTAGAGTGAGAAAAACCTGGACATGTTTATAGATAGGATAGAAGGAGCCAGATAAGAAGAAAGAGAGGTTGAAAATGGGGGAAAGATTGGGGATAATTGACAGTGCAGGGTTTCAGAAAAAGCATGATAGTATTGGTTTAAGACTAGGTAGAGTGATTTGCCTGAATGGTGGTAAGGGGTTGGGAGGTACTACTCTTTTCTAAGATTGGGGACAAGGATGTAGAGATAGGTGGACATGGAGATATATTTGTACAGTTTGAACAAAAAACAAGAAATTGAAATACTTTCCTAAAAATGTTAAATTTCTCAAAATAAGAAGTGCATTGTAGAGGACAGAATTGAGTAGGGAGTTTCAAGAGGGTGTTATGTGAAGAGGACAGCCATTAAAAAAAATGGGAGAGAGAGACAGCTGATTGAAGAGAAGTATAGTAAAAGGATCACTGGGCTTCATTAAGGGCCCAGATGAAGTTGGAGACCATAACTTAGGAGTGGTGTAGAGCTGTGCTTCTCAATCTTTTTTTTAAACCCATGCGCCTTCTCATAAAGATAAAAACCTCATGCCTTCCATTAAAATGAAGGCTGGATTGGATAGAGTAGGTAAGTGGAGATTTTCTGAATATGACATAGTAATATTGAATATCTTTGCAAATGTTAAATTAGCACCAAAATAGAAGATTATTTTAGGTGATTCCAAGTTTGATTTCAGCTCAAACATATTTATAATCTGAATGTGAGGTGTGTCAGTTTCTAAAAAAAATTAATTGAACTCTTCAATGAAGTAGCAGTGAGCACTGTATCACTACAGATGTTCAAATAGTATCTAGACCATTAATTATTAAGGATGTTTGAGAAAGATTTCCTGTATTAGGTTTTGGGATGGTGTGAATTGCTTTCAAATTTTTAGATATGACAATTTATAAGTGTTCCAGTCACACTTGTTTCAAGACTATATTGTTTATATGTGAATAAGTTCCTGGGATATCAAGGCAAAGCCTAAGAAAGGAAAAACTATAGAATTGTTTTCCACAGTCACAGAAGATAGATTTTATGACCAACAATAAATTGCAGTTGTAGACCCAAGGTGAAAAGAGTAGGAAACACATATCTGAAGCAACTTAAGAGGATCTCTGAGGGGAGATAATAAGGGGTGGGTGATGCCATATTTGATGATGTAATATATTATGAATGAATATAATTTAGAAAAACAAGAGTCTATTCCTCGCTGATAAGCTGGGGGCCAGCTTGTAGAGAAAATGGCAAAATAAACTTGTACTTGCATTAATCTGTCTCTTGGGAGACCAGTCAGATTGGAGCAGCAGCTACAGGGTTCTGAATTGGATGTGATTGTCTCCATAGTCCCTTCTATCTCTAAGCCTCTGGTTTAGTCTGTTAGTTCTCAACACTATGGTGTAACTGAATGATTTTTTGTTTTGCCTCTGCAGTGTAGTGTTCTTCAGTGTCTGAAAGAACTACTGCAGAATTGGCTGCTGTGGCTTTCTATGGACATCCATGTGAAATCTGTGAGGAACAGTCCTCTGTGAGTTATCTTATAACCCTCCACAAGAGTTGATCTGTGCAAAACTGCATATGGAGTTTAACGGTGTGACGTGAAACCTTATTGCTCTATGTAAATACTGAATCGTACTTTTCTAAGGTTTTTTCTTCTACTTTTCACCCTTCCCCACAATCCTGTGAGAAAGATTAATTCTTCAAGTTTTATTATATAAATCAGAAAGCAACCCCTAAGCCTCTAACATTAGAACTTGCAACTTTGGCTTTCATTCAGTTTGTATTCTTGCTTATATGTGAAGTCAATTTTGATGATGGCTAGGAAAATCTGTAATTTTGCTGTACAGAATTTTTTTTTGTTTCCCTGATATATTTTGCTTGTATACATTAATAATTTTTTTTCCTCTATGATTTTCTTTTTTTTTTCATTTATTTTTATTAGTTGGATGCTAATTACTTTACATCATTGCAGTGGGTTTTGTCATACATTGAAATGAATTAGCCATGGATTTACATGTATTCCCCATCCCGGTCCCCCCTCCCACCTCCCTCTAATTTCACTTTGTAGTTTAAAAAGAGCCCTGAATTTCCATTATGTTCATTATTGTTAAATATAAAACCTCAAAGTGAAAGTCAAAGACTTAACTGAATTTCAAGGAACTGCCTAAACCAGGTTGCTTTGATTCTTTCTACCTAGAGTCTTGGGTTCTCCTATATTCTTTTTTAACATTAATTTTTTTAAACTTTATATTAATGAAAATTCCAAACAAATTCAAAAGTAGAGAAAATAGTACAGTTATTACCCTTATGTACACATCATCCAGCTTCAACAGTTACCAACTCATGGTTAACTTTTTCTCATCTGTAGCACCCTTCATGTCTCTCCTCCTTTGTACTAGATATTTTTTAAGCAAAACCCAGACATCATTTCAGCAGTTGAAAAATGATATCAGTATAACATATAAAAATTAATAGTTCATAATATGTTCAAATATCTAATCAGTGTTCAAATTCCCTATATTATCAGTCACATTCTTACTTTATAACATAAGGATCCCTTAGCTTCAATAGCAAATACTTGGTGTTTAGTTTGGTAAGATTAGTCTAGATCTATTTTTCTCTATGTTCTTTTCCCTATAGTTATCTCCAACTTTGTTATGAGAATGGAGAAAACAAGATTCTTGGAAGTTACCTGGAAAATTCTTATTACTTCATATTTATTATTACAGTGCTTCCATATATCATGTATGTCTGATCACTTTTAGAAGGAAATGGAGCATTAGTGAGTAGTGAAAGTATCTTGTAAAGCAGTGCTTCTCAAAATGTGGTTCCTGGACCCACAACATTAGCATAACCTGGGAACTTGTTGCTATTTAGTCGCCCAGTTGTGTCCGACTTTTTGCGACCCCATGGACTGCAGCACTCCAGGCTTCCCTGTCCTTCACCATCTCCCAGAGCTTGCTCAAATTCATGTCCATTGAGTCAGTGATGCCATCCAACCGTCTCATCCTCTGCCACCTCCTTCTCCTCCTGCCTTTAGTCTTTCCCAGCATCAGGGTCTTTTATAGTGAGTCAGCTCGTCACATCAGGTGGCCAAAGTATTGGAGCTTCAGTTTCAGCATCAATTCATCCAATGAATATTCAGGGTTGATTTCCTTTAGGATTGTCTGGTTTGATCTCCTTACTGTCCAAGGAACTGTCAAGAGTCTTCTCCAATACCACAGTTCGAAAGCATCAATTCTTCGGAGCTCAGCCTTTGTTATGGTCCATCTCTCACATCCATACATGACTACTGGAGGTAGAGCCCAGAAATATGTGTTTTAACAAATGCCTCCAGAATTTTGGTACAAGCTAAAGTTTGGGAACCCCTATCATAAGAAATTCCATTTGAATGCTTAATCTCTTCAAATACTTTACTTCTATTAAGAATAGTATGTTTGCATTTATAATGTTTGTCCAATTTGCAGTGTAAGTCTTAGGCACACTAATACAGGTGGTTTACAATTTCTGTACTTTCTTTCTAAAAATCCTAAGATCCTTTTTAATTAGTGTCATAAATTTTGAGAGGGCATTTAAAAAGGGGCTCTGCTTTCTAAAATTCTTAAAACAAATAAATGTACATAATTGTAGGTAACTTTGCTTGTCTTAATACTACTTGGCATTATAAAATATAGCTCTTAAGTTCTCTATAATTCCTTCCATTTTGGAGACAGGAGTGTAATGCTATGTCTCCATCATGTGACCATGTACCATAGAGGGAGTAAACTGTAGTAGGTCACAAGGAGAGAAGGGTGGGAAACTGTTCTCAGCAGTGGTTCTCCAGGGGGCATTTTTGGTTGGCACAGTGACTGGAAAGAGGGTGCTAACATCTTTTAGTAGGTAGAAGCCAGAAGTGCTAAATGTGCTGTAGTCAGTAGGGAGTAGAAGGCAATCCTGAATGATGAGTTGTGTCATCTAAAATACCCCCGGTAGTGTCCTGTAGAGAAACATTTTTAAAGGATGCTGTCTGAGCAGTCATTATTGTGCAGATTATTTCAGACATATTTGTCAAGTGCTGCCAGAAATCATAAAGTACAGTTTTGCAAGTGACAGTCTGACTATGTATCCCCACCTATTTGAATGGTCTCTTAATCTTTTTCTGCTTGCTCTGCCACTGAATTATGTCATGATGGTGGGTAATGGTAGAGTTGTTGTCATTTCAAGCTCTCAGACTATATATGATTCCTTTTTCCTTGTGCATAACCATTGTTGGCTACCTAGGTCTGGGGGTAAAGCTATGAAATCACATTTCCCAGTCTTTTCCTAATCCAGTCAACAGTGGATTATAGGACAAGAGTGAGTGGATGGATGGATTGAATCAATTATACCCATGTGTCATTTAAAGAGACACAATTCATTGCTTTGGCTAGAGTATAAAATATCTGGATCTGGGTTTTACTAGAAGAATGAAAGATGCCAGAAATTTTACTCATTCAATTTAAAAATTGAATTCCAGTTAAAGTGAATATATTTTTAACAGCATTTTTAGTTCAGAAATTCAGGCAAAACTGGTTTTGAATTTGTGTACTTAGAAACTAATTTGCTGACTGCTGTGGTCCCTGGACATTGGTACTATTATCTAAAGTCTGGAGTTTAATCCTTTCTTTCTCTGTTATTTACTAATATTAGAGTGGTTGCTCAGGATATTCTATGAATTGGTCTTAATGGTTCCCTAGATAGCTGTATGGAGAAGGCAATGGCAACCCACTCCAGTACTCTTGCCTGGAAAATCCCATGGATGGAGGAGCCTGGTAGGCAGCAGTCCATGGAGTTGCGAAGAGTCGGACACGACTGAGTGACTTCACTTTCACTTTTCATTTTCATGCATTGGAGAAGGAAATGGCAACCCACTCCAGTGTTCTTGCCTGGAGAATCCCAGGGATGGTGGAGCCTGGTGGGCTGCTTTCTATGGGGTCGCACAGAGTTGGACATGACTGAAGCGACTTAGCAGCAGCAGCAGCAGATGGCTGTATGTTGTGATCACTGTGGTTTTAAAAAAAGTGAATTATACTTTGGAGCGCCGATCATTTTCTGAAATTCCCAACAACTTTTTGCTGTATATTTAATCCAGCTTTAGCTGGGAAATTGTGAGGACTTTTGCTAATATGGATCTGCATGTCATGGTTTCTTATTGCAGAGAGACAACTTTAGGTGGATCCATGAACTCTGTGTCCGAACTGATTCACTATGTAGGATGGCTGTCCACTACTGCAGTGCGCTTGGAAAGCAACCATACTTTCTTGCTGCACTTTATTTTGGATTTCTATGAGAAGGTAGTATACATCCCATTTCCCCTACTTAGATTTTTGTGATAGCTGTCTGCTTTACTACTCTGTTGTTTAAATTTTATGCACAACTATTACGTTGGGCTATGATCTTATTATCATAGTTAATTTTAGTTAATAAACTAAAGTTAAACATAGTTAATTTTGAAGTTAATGATTATATTCTGGCCTGAATAATTGACAAGGAGAAAAAGCAAATGCTTTTTTCTGAATTCCAGGTACCACTTTAATAGACATTCCCCTGAATAATGCTAACCCTAGACAGAAGTCTGTCTTTTTGCTCATCCATTATAGATCTCTAACCCCTGGTAAAAAAAACAAAAATATGCTGTTTCCTTAGCTCTCTACCCCCAGCTTTCAGCTGCCTTATTTCTGCCAGTACCTATGATTCTGGTCCTCTTCTGTTGTTTTGTAGTATTCAACCTAGACAGAACTATTATCTAGGAAGTACCCACTAATCTCAGTTTTCCTGGCTTCTTCCCTTCACTGATACCTAGTTGTATTATGTTTGCTTGGAAGATTCCTTGTTTGTTTTCCAGGTTGACAGCTAATTAATGTGATAAATCAGTATTTATGGGACTTAAGCCCACCTAGGGCTTCCCGGTGGCACTAGTGGTAAAGAACCTGCCTGCCAATGCAGGAGACATACTAGGTAGCGGATTCAATCCCTGGGTTGGAAAGATCCCCTGGAGGAGGGCATAGCAACCCACTCTAGTTTTCTTGCCTGGAGAATACCATGGACAGAGGAAACTGGTGGGCTACAGTCCATAGGGTCGCAAAGAGTTGGACATAACTGAAGTGACTTAGCATGCATAGGACTTAAGAAAGAAATGTTCTTTTCCCCTTTTTCCCTAACTTTAAGATTTCTCCCCAGAAAAAAAGAGATTTTAATAATAAAACCTTCCAGAAATAATCCTCTATCATAAGGTTACTATTTGGTGAGGTACATTTTTGAGCAAGTTGTGGCTACCTATTCTGTTTATGAATCAGGCAGGACCAACCCTAATGTTACTGCTTATTCTCTAGTGATGCTTCTTTGGGTGAAGTTGGTTGAGGGGTTCTGAGGAATAATTTATATACTGATATTATCATTCTTCCCAAAAGGTGTGTGACATATATATAAATTATAACCTTCCATTAGTGGTGGTGTTTCCTCCTGGGGTCTTCTATCCTGCACTCCTCAGCCTGGATTCCAGTATCCTGAATCAACTCTGTTACATTATGGACAGGTATGAAGCCTTTTCCCCATTTTTATATCATAATCCCATCCTCGTTTTCCAGCTATAAAATAAAGTATATAAATATACTACAGTAAGATTATATGGGCTTCCCGGGTGGCGCAGTGGTAAAGAACCCACCTGCAATGCAGGAGCTGCAAGAGATGCAGGTTTAGTCTCTGGGTGAGGAAGATCCCCTGGAGAAGGAAATGACAACCCACTCCAGTATACTTGCCTGGAGAATCCCATGGACAGAGAAGCCTGGTGGACAGAGAAGCCTGGCAGGCTACAGTCCATGGGGTCTCAAAGAGTCGGACACGACTGCACACACACATGCAAGCTTATTATATATAATGCAGTAAAATATTCAGAACAATCAGATTGTTATCTGTTTTCTGCCAGGGCCTTTGGAAATAGGAAACCTGGCTTTCTTTTGGGAATGACCTTTCAATGTGGAACTATTTTAACTGTGTTCTTAAAATGTCAGCATGAGGGACGTGTAATAAAAGAATTCATAGTTAAGGATCTTTTTGTGCAGTGGTACTGTTGCACTCAGCATTGTTAATTCTTGTTGCTGTGTTGCAAAGAAAAATTAGTCATTTACTGACAACTAACAACTGGTTTAAGTCTACATAGCTTCTTTGGTTAAAAGAACATTTTCTGGAAGATAAAGGGGAGCTATTACCAATTATATGAAACTGTAAGTATTAAATTTCTGATACCTTCTAATTTTTCCACTTATGGACTGAAATTGCTCTTTTTGGGCCATAAGTGTAGACCCTTTTGGCATAACTTGTAGGACTATGCTAAGGTTTAAATAGGATTGATGTTGAAGCTGAAACTCCAATACTTTGGCCACCTGATGCAAAGAGCTGACTCATTTGAAAAGGCCCTGATGCTGGGAAAGATTGAGGGCAGGAGGAGAAGGGGACGACAGAGGATGAGATGGTTGGATGGCATCACTGACTCGACGGACATGGGTTTGGGTGGACTCCGGGAGTTGGTGATGGACAGGGAGGCCTGGCGTGCTGCAGTTCATGGGGTCGCAAAGAGTCGGACACGATTGAGTGACTGAACTGAACTGAATTGAAATGTTCAAAAGCTAATTAGAATAGTTCTCAGTCAAGAAAAAATTATACTTCTAAGTTTTCCCTTTAGCCTGTCTACTGCACCTTTTTTTCACATTAAGGAAATGTTATGTATTAGAAGCTGCTTTTGAGACTTTTATTAATTTTTAATACTGAAACATTAAGAACATTGCCTTTCTTTTTTTTACTGAAATACAATTTACAGAGTCAAGTGCCTATCCTAAGTGTACAATTCAATATTTGAGCCTCTGTTAATTTGTATTCTTTGAGGAAAATGTACCACAAAAGGAAAAAAATATTTAACTAGACAGCTGGATATTTGTGTATGTACATATATTTACATTTAAAATGTAAACTTTTGTTTATATTTACATAGGAAAGGCATTTAATGGTAAAAGTTTTATTCTATTCTGTCTTTTAGGTATCATAAAAATTTGACTGCTGCAAAGAAAAATGAGTTTGTACACAAGGTATGGATGATGAATCTCTGTATTAAGTCACCATTGTAGAGATATAAGATCTGTTGGGAATAAGAAACTAAGGGAGAATATGTGATAATGACATTTTTTTTCCTTTCCCAATAGACAAAATCAGAGTTCAGCTTCAGCAGCAAGACCTATCAAGAATTTAATCAGTATTTGACAGCCATGGTTGGTTGTCTGTGGACATCCAAACCCTTCCAGAAAGGATTATCTATTGACCCTGAAATCTTAGGAAATGCTTCAGTAGCAGAGTATAAAAAAAGTTTAAATTTAGTCCATCATCCTGCTTTCTTGAGTTATACTGTTTCCTTTCTGCTACAGGTAAGAATATTTAAACAATTTTTAGATTTTCTGTGGGAATACCATGATGGCACAAATAGGAAATTTCATAAATTTAGTGTGTTTGAATTGCAAGACATGTGTTCAGTCATACTTTTTGAGTATCAGCTAACTTTTAGGTATTGTGCTAGGCTCTGGGGATTCAAAGTTAGTTTCTACCCACAAAGAGCTTTGGTTTTTGGCAGAGACAGATTTGTGAACACTACTGCAATATAGTTAGGTGAAATGAGAAGTACAATTGTGAGAAATAGGGGGAGGGAATATTAGTTCAATTCTATTTGGGTAGAGGTGGTGCCAGATAAGAAAAGGGTACAGAAAAGTTGAAGCTTTGGTAAAATCCTTCTAGACAAGATGGAAAATGTAAGCTAGACAATATTATCGTTAGAGTGAAGTCTTAGCCAAAGACTGCTGAGCTAATAGGTTGATATCAGTATGTAGGCAAAGGGGTCTTTTTAGGACTTTATCACCAGCCCTGTCATTTTCAACATTGTGAGTGACTTACCTCAAATGGTGTGCATATCATCTGTGTGTGGATGACACAGCAGGATGGAATTACAATTACACTGATAGACTCTGGATTCATAATTCCCTGAACAGACTGGAGCATTAAGAAATCTAACAAAATGAAAAAAAATGTTTAGAATGAGAGAGATAGTCATTGAATAATTGTTTAATATATTCATGCAAAAACCAGGCACTGTGTTGAACAAGACACATCTAAGTATTGCTTAGAATACAGTCGGGGAGGCAGTCATTAAACAGACATCTTACAATAAAGAATGATGAATAATATAGGGAAAGTACAGAAAACAATGAAAAAATACACAGATGTTTGACCCAACTCAGGTTTTACAGAAGTGATGCTGATTGGAGTTTTGAAGGATGAGCATGAGCTTGTCAAGACAGGAGTGATATTTGAGAAAAAGTGCAAAATAGAACAGGGGGCAGTAAACTGTTGCTGTGGGGGACCGGACTGTAAATATTTCAGGCATTGCAGGCCACATGGTCTCTGTCAAGATTACTCAACCTTGCTGTTGCAGCATGAAAGTGGCTATAGACAGTGAGTAAACAAATGGGCATAATTGCGTTCCAATAAAAGTTTATTTGCAGAAACAGGTGTTGGACTCGATGTGGTTTGCCCTTTGTCACAGCATGCTGTATTTGAGGAATTTAAGCAGAATTGTAGGACTTGAGCAGGTATTCTAACCTGATTCAGCAGCAGAAGTACCCAGGGTACTTTTCCAAAGTATACATGCCTGATTGCTTGCACCTTGACATTTTGATTTACTAACTGATATCCAGAATCTACTTTTTTGATATAAATATTCTGATATACAACACGAGTTGAGAGTCACTGCTGTGCTTAGTCGAGACTCTTTGAGACCCTGTGGACTGCTGCCTGCCAGTCTCCTCTGTCCATGGGGATTGTCCAAACAAAAATACTGGAGTGGGGTGCCATGCTCTTCTCCAGGGGATCTTCCCAACCCAGGGATCGAACCCAGGTCTCCTGCATTGCAGGCAGATTCTTTACTGCCTGAGCCACCAGGGAAGCCCAAGAATACTGAAGTGGGTAGCTTATCCCTTTTTCAGGGGATCTTCCCGACCCAAGAATTGAACCAGAGTCTCCTGCATTGCAGGTGGATTCTTTACCAGCTGAGATACCAGGGAAGCCCTCAAGAGTCACTAGAGTAAGCTATAGCATGGTAGGAGATGATGTTTTAAAATGTAGTCAAGTACCAGATGGTGAAAAAAGTAATATGTAGACCTTCAAAAACATACTGATTGATTTCAATAATTGAATAAAAATTACAGTTTTCAAGTACACAGAGGCAGTATAGTTTTGTGATTTTCTTATATTCTTTCCTTTTTCTCTTTTCCTTTCATAATAACTTGCCTGATTTATCATACAGTACATAAAAACTTGTTTCAAATTAATGATATATTACTATTAATAATGAGACTGGATGAAATTTGAAATATTTTTAGTTCTTGCTCCTGGACTAAATCCTATGAAAAATGTACATTGCATATACTGTGTTTTATATGCAATTAGGTACACTTGTTTCAGTTTGTTTTCATGTTTTAGGGATTGCTTTTTTCTTTTTATTTGATCATTAGAAATCTTTTTTATTGAAGTATAATTGATTTATAATGTTGTGCTAATTTCTACTGTACAGCAAACTGACTCAGTTATCCACATACATACATTCTTTATATTTTTCATTATGGTTTATCCCAGGAGATTGCTATACAGTAGGAACTTGTTGTTTATCTGATTTTTTATTTAATTTGATTCTTAGAATATATAAAACATTTAAATGATTCCAAAGTCTTAACTATAGGAATTTCATCCTTTTTTCTTCCATCTTATCTTTGTCTTTAGGGAGCCTTTTTTTTTTAGGTAGCCATTTTATTGCTTCTTGATTTGTTCATTCAGTGTTTTGTTTCTTTAAACTTAGTAAGCAGTGTTTTTTTTATTCCTTTAATAATTTATTTATTTGTTTGTTTTTGGTTGCTCTGGGTCTTCATTACTGTGTACAGGCATTCTCTAGTTAAGGAGAGCTGGGGCTCCCCTCTAGCTGTGGTACATGGGCTTCTCATTATGGTGGCTTCTTTTGTTGCAGAGCACAGGCTCTAGGCATGCAGGCGTTAGTAGTTGCAGCACACAGGCTCAGAAGTTGTGGCATTCAGGCTTTGTTTCTCAGGGCATGCTGGATCTTCCCAGACCAGGGATTGAACCTGCATTGGTAGGTGGATTCCTATCCACTGTACCACCAGGGAAGTCCAACATTGTTTTGTAATCTGTGTCTTATAATTCCAGTATCAGGAGTTTTGTGTGTCTGTCTCTGTTGCCTCCTTCTTTTACTGTTTCTTCCTCATGTTGCTTAATTTCTTTGTGTGTCCTGTTTACTTTCAACTTTGTGATGGACACCTGAACTATTATTTGTAGAAAGAGTCAGAAAACTAGAATGATATCTTCCTGCAGAGAGAACTTTCATTTGCTTCTTTCATGTACCTAGTGATACTCTTGGAGAAGGGAATGGCATCCCACTCCAGTATTCTTGCCTGGAGAATCTCATGGACAGAGGAGCCTGGTGGGCTACAGTCCATGGGGTCACAAAGAGTCACACATGACTGAGCGACTAAGCATACAAGCATAGGGATGCTCTTTGGCACTAACCTAGTGCAAATTCTGTGCTTGAGATCCTTTACACGATTGGTGGACAGACTGCAAGCCTGTGAGAAGGCTAATTTATTTCTGATGAACTCTTAGCTTGAAGGGGTAGCCCTTTGGGTTTCTAGTTTAAAGTGAATGTTAGTTTATGAGAGTTCCCACTTTTGGCAAATCCTTTGCTTTGACTTTAGTCACCTTAGCCCTTGGAGGTTGTCGAAATGCAGCTCAGGTTTTTTTTTTTTTTTTCCCATTGTGTATAACATACTCTGATTTATTCCATTTCATTCTGTTCTAATTTTTTGAAAATGCTGGTTGAAGTCCACTGAGTTGATTTCATGACCCCCTAGTGGAGATGCAGCTCAGTTTTGCAGCTGACTCCTTTGGATTGGCAGATTCCCTTAGGCCAGGAGTGACTTTGAGTATTAGGTTTACCCCTCTGGGCTCTCATCTTCTAGATATTGGCTTAACCTTACCATCGACTTTGGCATTCCCTTTATTAGTGTTACCCCTGTATTACTTTTTTTAAACATAACTTTTTTATTTTGTAAATTGTATTTATTTATTTTATGTTTTGGCTGTACTGTGTGGCATATCAGCTTAGTTAGCTGATCAGGGAACTGTGCCCTATGCAGTGGAAGCGTGGAGTCTTAACCACTAGAGGGCCAGGGAAGTCCCATGTTTTGTAAATTTTAAAAATATAGGGATGGGGAATACATGTAACTCCATGGCTGATTCATGTCAATATATGACAAAACCCACTGAAATGTTGTGAAGTAATTAGCCTCCAACTAATAAAAATAAATGGAAAAATATATGTATAAAAGGAGAGAGAATGTATAGTATGAGCCCCTGTAGACCCAGCTCCGTCTTTATTCCCATCCAGTTTCATACTTTCCCCTGACCCAGTTAGTTTGAAGCAAATACCAAATGTTACACAATTTTACATAAATGTTTCATTCTATATCTCTAAAAGATAATGGGCGCTTAAAAGTTTTTTTCTGTTTCTTCTTATTTTTCACAACTTTATTAAGATATAATTCAAATACAGTACAATTCACCAATTTAAAGTATACACTTCAGTGGCTTTTAGTATATTCACTGAGCATCCATTACCACGATCTGTTTTAGAATATTTTTATTATTCCCAAAAGAAACCCCTTGCCCCTTAGCTATCACACTCCAGTTTCCCCATTCCCCAGACCTAGGCAAATACTCATCTACTTTATATCTATATAGATTTGCTTATTCTGGAAATTTATAAAGATGAACTCACGATAATATATGGGTTTTTGTGACTAGCTTCTTTCACTTAGCATAATGTTTTCAGGGTTCATCTATGGGTATGCAATGTGTAAGGATTCCATTTTCTTCATACCTTCCTCAAGATTTGTTATTGTCTGGGGTTTTTTTTATTCTAGCCATCCTAGAAGCTGTGAAGTAGTATTTCATTGGGGTTTTAATTTGCATTTCGCTGATAGCTATTGATGTGCTTTTTGCTAGCTATTGATGTGCATCTTTTCATGTGCTTATTGCCCATTTATATATTTCCTTTGGAGAAATGTCTATTTATACCCTTGCCCGTTCTTAAATTAGGTTATTTGTCTAAATGGCTTTTAAGACTGATTTCTATAGTCTAAATTCCAGTTGATTATCATATGATTTGCAAATCATATATATATGCAAATATATATGCAATCATATATATATATATATATATAATCTGCAAAAGTTCTCTCCTATTCTGTGGGTTGTCTTTTCATTTTTTTGGTATCTTTTGAAGGACAAAAGTTTTAAATTTTGATGAATT